GCCCTGAGAGCTCTACACACTGAGACCAAAGGAGATGAATGAAAACACATTTCGGAAATTGGTAGTGTGGATTACTCTTTTTGACGTTTTCATGGTTTCATCTAATTTAATTAAGCTGCTCTATGCTGACTTCCCCTTTGTTAAAATGATCCGTTTGACTCTTCAGCAATGCTACATTCTTGTTTTATTGCAAGAAAAAGCTGGAAATAAGAGAAAACTGCAAACTCAAAGTGGTTCCAGAGCTCTGTGAACCACCGCCCACATCTCAAATTTGATATGTGATTCAGGCAGGTCGGGTGGTGTGTTCAATAATGACCAAGCAGAGTTTAGTCAGTGGGTGGGGTTAAGAAGGGTGATTTTATCTGTGCTAAAAGTGCTGTGAGCAAGGATGAAACAAATGCAGTTAAACAAGTTGCTAAACTTTTCACCAAAATCTCTACCGCAGGTTTCACGTATGCTGGAAGAAAACATCAGCTGGTTGTTGCCAACTTATAGATCACATCTCTGAATGAGCGAGCATGAGGAGGAAAGAAGTTCAAAGTTCAATTTGGTTATCAGGATGTCAACTAAATTCACAGTTTATATAAAAGCAGTTTTATTCCTGTTGCGTTTCAGTTGTCACAGTTTTCGGGGATTTCTTTCTGTGTTGTATAACAATGCAAACTGAACATATGTGTAATTAATTAGGGCTGCAACAGTAGCTGAATTCATTCATTATTAGTTTGTCTCACAACGTAAGCATGGTCAGTCCACGTCCTGTTGTTCCTGCTTTATTGGAGGGAAATATTTCATCTAATTTCTGATCACCGAATTTAAAAAAAAGGATTGTACTTGGGAAGAAAGAATTGCAAAATAAACAAAAATTGGTTTAGAAATTATTTTACTACAGTGCTAATGATTTTGCTTGGGATCTGAATAAAAAAAAAAAAAAAAAATAGACATTTCAATCACAAGTTTTAAATGCTGCCTTGGGCCATTTTAAAGGCTTAACAACTCATCAGCTGAATACAAAACTATCAGCAGGTTAAATCTGGTTTCAGCTCCTGTTATAGGGCTCAGCTGAATTATCTCTACAGTGAGGACTTACACTTGGCATACTAAGTGAGTCTCCATGATCCTTGAGAGGCATCGCTGGGGGCCACAGGCTGTCTATCAAGCTGAAAAGCCTGGAGCTCCTGGGAGTGAGACAAAAGAGAGAGAGAGAGAAAAAAAATACCTTGATGTATGCTCAATCATCCAGGTAATCAACAAAAAGTTGCTTCTGTTATGTGGATGTTGTGTTTTCAGTGGGAGAAATGTTTTATCACTCATCCAAGTGACTTCTTTGGTGTCAGCTGAATGCAGGTTTCTTTAGGGTTTATAAGGTTGCTGAAAACACTAAGACCAGATGAACTGAATGAACTTTTTGGGGGAGAGAGAAAATGTGAAAAGAGGGGCACGGGGATGGGGGGATGGGGAGGTGAAACTAGTGAATAAGTGAGATGGAGAGCTTTCACAGCCAGTTTCACTTCCACTGAAACAGTTTTCTGCTAAAACAGAGCTTGTCCTAACAGCACCTAGAATTAACAGTGAGCATGCTCGGGCTGGCAGAGAGGAGAACCATGCTGAAACTGCTTCTTACCGGCAGGTTAAAGGCTGGGAAACATTCACACCCTATGCAAATTATGATATTATTGTGGCACAAAAATAACAAGGTTTGGAAAACCAATTACAAGTGACATGAATTGTCCGTGACTTTAAGCCCTGATGACTGACATTTGCCATTTCTCACCGCAGTCTTAATCACCGGAATGACAGACTGGAGCAGGATCAAACTGGATGTGCTTTTATGATGTTTAAGTGACGTCAAACTCCAAGTAAGGACTCAATAATTACAAACGGGGGAATAACAGCAAGTTGCAACTCCAGCATATCACGTCAGTCTCCCGCTCTTTTGTCTCTCTTCTAAGAAGCCCTTTCTGAGTTCTGCTTAGGTGAGAGCTGCCAACTTGTGCATGTGTGAGCTGTCATATCACCCAGTGGTTAACAACCTGTTAGTCAGCCTCTAATCACAGAGTTTCTTTGTGTGGAACTGGTTCTGCAGCCCAGTCGAGTCCAGTGAGGACTGCTCAAGGATGAGTAATGACAAGCTAACAGGTCTCATTCAGGACGAGGTGATTTTAATGCTGCCTTTGAATACTTAGTTTAACAAAAGTTAAGCACACGCATCTGAATGCAACGAGTGGCAATGGCCACCGCAGTCTGTTGTTAGTGATACTTAAATCTCTTTTGTTAGTGGGTGATGACTAATCATTACACATTTTCTATTTGATTTTGTTGGCAAATCTCCAAAAAAAAAACCAAAACCCACGATCAATCAATCATTTCCTTAATGACAACCCATACGGCTCACATGCCAGGCTGATACTGTAACAGAATAGTTCAACCATTGTTCGGTGACAAGGGCTTATTGACACTCACATATCTGTCTCTAAAATAACATCAAGTTAGCTCGGGCTACGATAAAGACAGGAGGAAATCTGATAGCCTAAAACAACTAAAAGACACCTAAAACAAGTGTCGTTATGTTGACATACAGCCCTGCTACATGTAGCCTGATATTTAATGTACAGACACGAGAGTTGTGTTAAACTTCTCATGGAACAACTGGCAAGACAGCAATATGTTTGCTAGCTGAAACGCGAGCAGCAGATTTAACTGATCTCCAACAATTTCAGATATTTCTGGTTTGGCCAAAAAAAGATCAAACCAAGATCTGCCATATAACTGGTGTATGACACTATGAAGTAACTACAACCAAGTGAGCATGAGTTGATGTTCAAATACAAATACAAAAAAATTGTTCTCTATTTATCAGCAGCAGTGACTTCTTGCAGTCTTGTTATCTCAGAGGTGTTAATTAGTTTGCTTTAATGTGGATTTATGGTCTGTCTGAATGTTAGGTTTTTGGTTCTGGGTGTACAAATCTATCCCACTTCAACGTTTCACATCTTTAAGACACACTATGAACAGACATGGGTGGAGAGCACGTCTTGTTGTGAGAGACTGTAAATTCCTTTTTAGGGGATATAAAGACTAAGAGTATCACTCCATGATTCATAGTCCAAAACAATCCCTATTCATCTCATGCTGGGTCTTGGGCAGACCTTCAGGTCATTCACTATCTGAAACATGCTGTTTCAGATAGTGTTTTTAAGCTAACTGCTTAAGCCTGTTCCTCGCAAACAGAAGGTTTGAACAGCAGGTGGGTGGGGCTGCAGAGCTGTGTTCCTGAGAAGACCATATTAGGCATATCCACCCTTACTGACATCACACAGAGCAAAGAGTTAAACAAACTGTCTGAAGCTGAGTCTGATCCACCTCATTTACTCGTACATACTCTGACCACGATTAATATGAGCAGCTACCATTGCAACAAATGACAAAAATAATAAGGGAACACATAATACGGTATGATTTCTAGGATATGCTTAGAAGTCCAGTAGTCACAATTTCTCAGAAACACATGCCTGATTTAACTCAACCTCACGTGTTTTGCCACTTGAGCTAATAAGATGGTCAATGTGCACCTCTGAAGATAGCCCATCCATCAGAGTCTCGCCACAGACACCCTCTGGGGAAATTATAGGCTGCGATGGCACTGAAAATACCAAGGATGTAAACATACCCTCAGTCGGTGTCTAAATGCACCCATGTCAGTTCTTCTAACTGCTACTAATCTGGGATCTTGACTATGGAACTCACGAGGAAAAGCGAGTATGCACCTCAGTATCACTTTACATGTAAACACAGTCACACTGCTGGCAGAACAACATAATCTTGTTCAAAGCCATAGCACTGCCAGTTCTCACTGTATTGTAAATGTGGTTGTTAATGCTTTTAAAAATCAGGACATTCAAAGATAAGCATACTGGAGAGTCACTGAGCACAGCACACATGGTCCCCAGGCTACTTTACAAACACTTCTTAAAAGGACTTGTCTATCACAAGCATCCACCCAGGGCAGTTTGTCCCTGATGGCTAAAGACTGAGAAGATAACCTGTGAAGCAAGATTGGTATCAGTCATAGCACGAACTTCCCCCAATTTCTGGGAACTGAAATGTAGATAAAAAGGCAAAGAGGACTTTGTGTGTGCGTGTGTTTGTGCTCTTTTTTAATGCGCTATTATTGTGTATCCTGTTAAAACCAAATGACAGCACAGGTGGTGAGGGCGAAGAAAGGGGAAGGGGGACTCTGGATTACATAGTTCTTAATGCAGGGTGATTATGCGATTAGAACTGTATAATATTACAATATCACAAAGAGAAGCGGAAGATATGGGTCTCACCTTTCTCGTGTGACCCGCTGTACCACTTTAATGCCTCTCAGCATGCAGGTCTTCCCCTGCCACATCTGGCAGTACCGGCTGAGGTCATCCTCACAGGGCAGGAGTTGCAGCTGGACCACACTGAACATCCCGTAGCTGTCCTGGACGAGCACACACAACCTGGGAAAAGTTAAGTGATTAACTATTAACATATTAAGTAAATCACTTTTTTTTAAAAGTTGTGACTCTCCTTCTATAACCTTGAAGATACGCATTTAATAGACATGCTTAATGCATTTCCTTCCTTGTAAGTGCTATGCTTATTTCAGATTCCTTTTTTGACTGAATAGAGTAAAAAGAAATCTAAGGTTCATTTTCTATCTTAAACAAGCCGTTCTTGCTTCTCTCCCCTTAACCCTGCTTTCTTCTGATTGGTTGACCACCACAGACAGAAGGTTTGAACTGTAGGGGAGTGGTAACAGAGTTGTGTCCCTGAGGTGAACATTTAGGTGATGTCTGACCTAGGTGACTTAGCCAAGAGGAGAAAAAACAGAGCAGTCTGGAGCCTAAGCTTTGGGCTTACAGGGCTTATTTCTTAAATGCTGACCTCACTTTTTCATTTGAAACTGGATACGTATTGTAACAGATACATAAACAATGTGGTATAAGGAGGATAAGTGCATTTGACTCTTGTCGGTGGTCAGAGATTTATAGAAAACTATAAATATTTGTCATAACACCCTCAGAGGATGAAGTGAAGTATACCTGACAGCTTGAATCAAATGACGGTATTTTTTCAGGACCTCCTAAGAAGTCACTTTTCTTTCAGGACTCTCTGCATTAACGTAAGGTTCAGTCGTTCACCTCTAGCTGGCCACAGATGCCTACAATAGGTTTGTCCTCCATTTCTAACTTTTGTTAATATCAAGAGAATCACTGACAGGCCTTCGGGACCAGCATGAAGCAAATTTTTCTGCCTAGTTGACAAATTTTATCACACATAACTGGCATGAATTTGCATCTCTGCAGACTTTTAAATGTAACCATAGTTTAGTTCATTTGCATTTAGCGTGAACAGACCCAAATATTTATAAACAGACTATATGGCCATGATATATATGCTAGAAGCAGTTTATTTAAACTGCTTTCCACAGCATGTTGGTGTGTTTTTTTGGGACACCATTTACCACCTTCCAAACTCCAGATATATTTAAGATTTATATTTAAGATGTGTCTTTAAAAGGTGAACAGTACACACAAAACCAGAACCCATTTAAACAGCGTTGCTATTTTGCACCTCAAAACTTCACGCAATATCCTTTAAATGTATGTTTACACGTTATATAGATGGATTTTTCAAAAGAAGCAGATAATTACAAGCATTTTCCACCAAATACTTGTCAGGGTTTGTTATTCTCTAACAACAGGATTACTTTAATCAAACTCAGCAGCAACTACTGGCTTGTTACATGGGTTGATTGTAAATGCAAATTAACTGATCAATAAATAATGTCAAAATAAATGGTTTAGCACAAGTGTTTGTGTTGAAAATATTAGTGTAACATATTTTCTTATTCCCTTTAAAAGAAATACATTTTTATTTACACCCATGTAGTTCAGGATTAGTCCTGAGATTTATGACTGTTAATGCTGGTGGCTGGTTTGACAGGTTGCCGCTGACACAGAAGACCTTTGGCATACAAAGTTATGAGGCAGTGAACTGCTGTGTATGCCTGCACTCTGCTGCTCCCATTTAGCGAAGAGCTTGAACTGCTACAGGCTCCACTATCTCTCCCAGTCAAGCCCAGACACAGCCCTGTACCAGCCCTGAGAGTAAACAGGAGAGTTTATATTCCCTGGTTAGACAAGCAACAGCCAGAGAAGAAGAGAAGGAGGAGGAGGAGGAAGAAAAACAAGGGAAAAGGGAGGACTGTCCATAATGCATGTGGATGCATGTGCATACAACAGACAGAGGAAAGTTTTGAGACTGTTTTTAACCGACTGATTGGGCCTACGAATGTTTTCTGTTGCTATACTTGGGTTCTGTCTGTGTTTGTTTTGAAGGACCTGGAAATAGATATCTAAATATCATTCCAGACATGACTCTCGGTGGTATAAGCCAAAGATTTAACCAAGATTATTTTCAGTTGTTTGCTTAATCTAAAATCCCAAATCAGACATATACAACACTTTGTTAAATTAACAAGTTATTTTTGACACACCAGACCGAGACAAATGCTGCCCTCTCTGGGTTTTTTTTTTTTTTCGCTTACAAAGCTGTAAACATGAGTGCAGAAGTTCAGCCTGTATAGCACAGTAAATGAACCCCTACTCATTTTATACATGATGTTTATCAGAGAAAGGAACAGCCAGCAAGTCAAAGACAAAACTTTAAAATTCTTCCAAAACACAGTAATGTTTAAAAACACATTTATATTTATATATATATATATATATATCTATATTGACTACAGCTGGAGGAAGCATGGACTACTACTAACACTATAACTTGATTAACCAGTTTTCTTTTGTTTTTTTTAAATATACAGCCACACCTTGTCTGAACCTTGTTTTCAGTCCTATTGCCACCGATGTAACAAATCCAGCACGTAGCCATGCAGTCTGCCTTTACAAACATTTGTAGAAAAATTGATCGTTTTAAAGAGCTCTCTAAATTTGAGTGTAGTTCTGCAATAGGATGCTGCCATTGCAGCAAGTCTGTTTGTGATATGTCTTCCCCCCTAGATACTCCACCCTCAGCTAGAACTTATATTACTGTAAAGTGCAACCATTTGCACCTTTTCAAATTCTGAAGTAGAAGCATTTAGGCAAGTCAGCCACAAAGTGTTACACCACAGAAAGTCACAGAGCAGAGTTACAAAGTGCATAAAATAGCACAGACTCCCACATGAATCCCCACTATAGCAAAGCATTTTATGTGTCCTAGTAATCCTATGAGGTATGTTGCTGGGGTCAACCTGGTAGGATCTCCAAATGCCTATTTGTTTTAAGTTAATAGGCGGGCAAGGTGATTTTTATGGAGTTAAAAGAAACAAAACAATGGATCGTGGTACCTTGCCCAATCCAGGAGCCAGGCCCAGGACAGAGGCGTGCACGAGAGTGTCTGGTGGTCGGGTCACAGGGGCCACCCGTTCTGTAGACCTATACCTTCCCAATCTCTGGTCACTCCATTGTCCTACTGAGCAACTTCACCTCTGACATGCGCAATGATACTATGACCCTTTGGGGTGTAGTTGGATGTGACACTGCAAGATCTGAGGGTAGCATGTTTAAAACTGAACTTCCAGATCTTACACCAGTCTTCGGGTGTTTTCACACCTCTGGTGTTCAGTCAGTTTAAATCATACCCTTGATGCACTTTGTTTGTGCAGATTGAACACAGTGCAGTGATTGTACTCTGGTACAGACCAAAACAACTGCACCGAAACAACTTTGGAGGAAGTGGTCTTGATGTGGTTCCAAATTAACTCCAGAGTGATTCAATTATGAAGTGAACAGGACCCGACCTCTATCCAAATCAACTACCAATTGGTTGCAAGTTTGACCGAATAACCTTCCCGTAGACACCTATGCTTTATATTCCGGGATGTGGCAAGGTACTATAAATGTGGCAAGGTCTGTACGGGCAAGCAGCTAGCAGTAAAATAAAAGTAAATTCTCCAGTAGCCCAGAACACAGCACCTTCTTGCTGTATTTACTTTTGATGCTCCCACCCCAGACACATCTGGCCAATAAGTGGACTGAACATTCTCATGTAGTTTGTAGAAACACATTTTGGTTCGCTGGGATTTTTCTCTGTGTGAAAACAAACCAAACCACGGGGAAAAAATAACTAACCAAAGAAAATGAACTATAGGTTAGAAAACACCATCAGAGAGGAAAAGGGGCTATGCTTCTTACTGCTAATGGGAAAAAAAAAACTGTTACTTTGTTGGTTTTGGACTTCATTGTTCAGAATCTGGTCCCAGAGGGCGACGGGAAGAATAGGTGATGTCTTTAGTGGGTGTGATACATTAGGATACAAATGGCTTTCCCTCGCAGTGGCCTAGTGTGACTATTACCAAAGGAGTGTAGAGTTCCACTGATAACACTTTCTGCCTTCCTCACCACCTGTTGCAGGTCCTCTCGGTGAACCACACCATACAGCAGTAGGGCAGAAGGCTCTCCAGTGCTGACTAACAGAAGTCGGTCAGCATGTGATAAAGGAGGTAAAAGTTATTGACTCAATAACATCAGCATTAAGTTCGCACTAGGGGCTTTGTGGCATGGATTTCCATGGCAAAGCAGCTCCTGTAGGTGTAATGTGTAGGTGGCCTCGTATGCCCCTAACATATTGTGTATTTTGATCAACCAATAACTAAACCTCGAATCAGAGTTATAGAAAACAGAGCAAAGCAGCAAATCTTCTCATTCGAGTATGTGAATCCACAAACTGCGAGGTATTTTAGATAAATGGACGACTTATCAGTCATTTGCTTAAATACAGGATGAAGTATTTTTTATGATAAAACAAAAACTTGACTGTTAAACATATCATTAGCACTTGGGAATTCGTTCTCTAATAACTATTAAATGGTTTGCTTGATTATATCATTTACATATGTTAGTAATACAACTGGCTCAACTTTAAACGTTTTTAATATCTTGAGAAAACAGGCTGGCTGTATTTTTTTGCATGTTTGTTTGTTGGTTGACAAACCCCATGAACAAGTGCAAAAGTAACAATGCTTTTCTGTTTGTCCAGACCTGACCAAGCCTGGTGTTCATATTTCACTGATCCAAACGATTATTTTCTTAAAGGACATAAATTGCAGTTTTTCTAAACCAGGAGTAAATAAAGTTCACATTGAAAATCTTTTAGTTCGTTAATACACATTTCTAAAGTTCTATTAAGTATTTATTACAGCATATTTGCTACTGATAAATACTCAATAGAACATCAGACATTAGAAATGTAAATCACAGCTTGTTGTGATTCTTATGCACTCACTAATAGCTTTGGAGGTCTATAGCACAAAGTATTTAGTATTTTCATTTAAATAAAAGAAACAAATTTATCATTTAAAACCACAGTTACTAACAGCACAAAGCATGGGTGATTAAAAAAAGCTGCATTTTATCAAAACAAGCCCGACATTGTCAACAAATCAACATCTGACCTTTCCTAAAATATAAATACAGCTGGTAGAGTCTTGCTTGGTGTAAATACACTTTTACTTTTCGTAGAGCATGTTCAGTCTTGAAGCATGAAACTTGATAGGACACCTGACAGACTGGAGAGAAATGGGTGACGGGACTTGTTGTGGTGCTGGCTTGTCATAAACAACTACCTCCCCCCTCTGTCAGCCCTTTTAGCTGTTCAAAGACCTACTTCCTCACTCCCCTCACTCCCACAAAAAAAAAGAAGAAAAAAATATCCTCAGTCACTGGCCAGTTTTAGTTACAGGCCATTTTCAGGAATTTGTTTTTGTGAGCGATCACAGAATTCTCAGCAACTCAGGTTTTCTTCCAGGAAGTGCGATCCACTGGGTCTGTGCTTACACACATATGAACTCTTTCAGTCACACTGCGAACGCATGGAAGCCAGCGCACATTCACATTACTTGGAAAAACACCAAGTTAAAGTCCCACACATTAAGAATACAGCAGAGAGGCCTCATTGGCGGGGGGCGGACAGGCGGGATTCCTTCCTATGTGCTGCCCACCAATCACTGCAGGCAGAGTGATAAACACGTTTGTAACAGGATCCCTGCAGCACATTGTGTTCCTGCTCAACGAAGAAAAAAAGAAGGAAAAAAAGAAAAAACAACCAGTCTCTCTCCACTTCCTGCAAACAGTTAATCTCCTTGTTTATTCCATCCCAAATTTACGGGAACTTAACATCTTCTTCAGGCATAAATATCATACTGGCCCGTCTCCCTCGTGTTTTAACACACACAGTGGCTAAGCAACAAAAGGATCAAATAAGAGCGCTGACCAGGCGAGTGAGTCATAGAGGCCAGGGACACAACATGAGAGGTACAAACTGTCCTCGTGTTTACACAGAATGAGCCCAGTGGGCTGCGAAGTAAACTACACCGCTCTCCACAAAGCAGCCATGTATTCTGAAAAAAATAACACAAGCAACAGATTGTAGCACATGATGTTACTTCTGAGCAGCAATGCAAAGCAAAGACTCTCATAAAAAGACATACAAGTGATCAAAGTGATGCAAAGCTTGCCCATGTTATCAAAAATAAATAAATAAATAGTAATAATAACAATAAATTAAATTCAGGAACGGCTGGAAAACAAAATAAACTTTGTGTACCATGTTCACATCTGTCACAATAAAGGCGACTGAGTCATCCTGATATTCTAAACTTGAACCCTCGTGATCGACTGCTAACCTCAGCCCCACCTTCATCCTTTCACTACAAACCCGAGGCTGCTGAATCTTGTCGAGCCAGAGAGAAACTGAGGAAAGGGTAAGAGTGTTTCCGGTCAGAGGGCAGCTCATTTGTTTACCAGCCACAGAAGCAGCATGGCAGGAGTGTCATGTTACAACCGCAGCTCATGTAGCCTGTCAGCTGACCGGGGTTCTCCTCCCCTTACCGCCGATGGTCCCTCGGGTCCCTCTGCTTGGAGAAACCGCTGCTTTTATTACTCAGCAAAAGGACAAAAACAACACGCCTGGGGAAGGCCAAGGCAACTGAAGGTCATACTTACTGGATTTGCTTCAAATGTAGCACTTACTGATTTGTTAACTACTACAAGACCACACGAACAAGTCATTTCAGTAAGACTGGAGGATTTTTGATAATTTAGCATGTATGAAACAACAAAAAACAGATTTTCTTGTATCTGAAGTGGAAACAAACCTGCATTTTATGTGTGGCAAATCCACAGATTCATTACTCATCCCTGGTAGTAAACCACAGCTCTGCTGAGCATTCAAGCATGTTTCATTTCATTGCAACTTCACTGTTTTGGTTCAGTCTCGGCACTCTCATCTGCGTCATTTGCTGCCGCACTCGTATGCAGCGCTACATACAAAGTAGGACCTTTGGTAACTGAGGAGACAAATATTTACCTCAGGCATTGTTGGAAACAAAAACAAAGCTTGAAGGATTTTTGTTTTAAATTTTATGGGTGGCTTCAAACACGTCTACAAAGAAACGCTAGTAGACGTGAGACTGAGCAGCTACCACTTGGTCATGGCTGAAGGAGAGACCTGTACCTCGCTCACATGACTTACTGGTGATGCTCAGCAAAGTGGAAGCGAACGATTTGGTGCATTAATCAGAATCAAACGGGAAAGAAAAGCTACTTTCCATCCTTAGTGGACAAGTATTATGCTCCCATAATCCTGTTTACAGCAAATAAACTTTAATGAGCCAATGACTCAGTCTACGGAAACATGATCCATACTGTCAGAGGATCATAAACATGTAGAAAGTCTCAAGGCAGACCATGAAATACCTACGAAAAGTAATCAGATTTATGTTCCTGGAACTTGATTTCTTCCTTTCTTCATTTACTATTTTATTGTTGGCGTCATAGCTAATCATTCACATCCAGCTACACAAAGTGATGCTGTTCCAGGTCTAAAAGGACAAAATATGTCCATATATTTGGAGCCTAGTCGGGGTGACGTAAGTAATTACTCCTCTCATACCAGAGACCGCAGCTCACTTCCCACACATCGTTTTTATACTTTCTTTGGAATTACTTTAACACTTCAGTTGCTTTTTTTTTTTCAAAATTCTTTCTTTGAGTTTAGACAATCAAACTATTTGATTAGGGTTAGAAAAGGCTAATGATTACACTGAACACAAGAACACAAAGCTGGAACTTCATCAACAAGTGCCCTTGGTATATTACAGTTCAAACTCAATACGGCCTTTTCAAATTAAAAGCAGTCTAGTTAGGTGGCTTTTATTATATAAAACAGTTGTCTACAATGTCATAGGTGGGTGACTCTGCAGAGCCCAGGAGGGCAAACCGCCTTTCAGATACACTTCACAGTAGAAGACCACACGGTTGTCAGTTTCCCATCGTTTTCACAGACCACATAACAACTCAGAAGTGGAAATACAAAAACATGTGAACAAACTGTAAGTTCTGGGCCCTTACGATCCACATACAGCCCTTCTGTAGTATTACAATGACTAAAAATAGCAAATATCTGCCAGAGAAACAGTTTCACAATGATTTAAATAATAATACCTACAAAAAAACAAAACAAAAAAAGTAAGGACAGCTATATGCATTTTCAGGTAGGATGGGAGTGAATTACAAGGGAGAAGAAATTCCTCACCTGAGCCAATTAGGTGCATTATTTATTTATTTTTCTGTTAGTTTTAGGGCTCACAGTCTTATTTATCACTGAGGGCAGACAGGACCTGGAGCTTGGCAGCTGGATTACAGTTGTACTAGTCTGTCATTGTGATGAAAGAAAGTCTATCCAGAGGCTTACTCTTACCCACAGCCATGAGCTTGTGACTAAAGGGATCACATTCAGACTCAGGCCTGATTTAGACAGGGAGGAATCGTTATAGAGCCTATGGCATAACACGCACAATTTGCCAACATCTTTGCCAGAATTGACGCTTGTGCATTATGGGAAAATTGATGCTATAATTATGATCCCTTATTATTAAGGCCATGATTGTTATTCTGTCACTGATGAATTTAAAAACTGTGTTTAAAGAGGAACCTGAAATATACAGGACAAGAGGAGTCAATGATACTAATGAGGCCCATCACAACAGTCGTGGGCAGCATCGACCAAATGTGTAATTACATTTCTTGGGTGCAGTGGTTCCAACATAATAGGACATAGATTTCCTGGTGAAAAATCCCCAGTCGGAAGAGGAATCCCTGCACCTTTCTGGTGGAAAAAAGCCAGAAAAAGTGGTGCAGGTATCTGATCAGGTTGTTGCTTGAACGCCTCTCTAGGGGGAAACATGGCAAACTGGGTTATACTGTGCAACTCTTTTGGTCAATGAATGCTAGAGGATACTAGGCTATTTTACCGAAACAGCAGAGTCCATAAGCAGATTCTGAAGACTGCAGATAAATGACTGACAGGCGACACACGGTGTAACAGTTAATGTTTTGTCTTAAAAAAAACAACAACAAATGAATAAAAAGATTCTTAAATTATTTGCTGATTAAATGAAGGAAAAACAAATCTGCCTCATTTGTTTATGACCATACACTTTCTGCAGTACCAAGAGGAATTATGTTTTAACATGTGAAGGAAAAACACTTTGGTTTCCCCTTATTAAGGTAAGAAAAAAAAACTGCTACAAAGCTGCTCCACCCAGAGGAGTGCGAACGGGCAACAATTCAACTCAGACTTGCTGGTGCACGAGATTCTGAAAACATCATGCTGTCTTTCCTGAGAATTGGCCAGAACCATTCACAGAGGGGCTGGATTCAATTAGAAATGTTTGTGTCCTTTGTCAAGCAATGCCATATGGCTGGAGACAGCGTGAGCACTTTGTGGGGCCTGCTGTGCTGTGAACAATAGCTCGACCGCTGAGACACATCGTGCCACCGAGGAGAAGCATGCAAAGCCCGAGAGCAAAGAAACTAGCATGAAATTTGAACAAAAAGAATAATCTCAATTGGGGCAGAGCTCTCACAGCAGATAAAATACGATTCATTTTTCCCAGCTGTTTCTGGCTTCAAGTGACAAACCAAAAGGCCTCCCTGGGATCCCAATTATGAGCTCGCCCAACAATACCTTGTTTTGCCTTTCTCTGCAGGAGGAGCTGTAGAGGACCTGAGGGGAAGTCTTGGTTTGAGGATGGACACAGGAGAGCAGTCAGCAATGGGGATGGAGTAAACTCTCTGCACAACCACCTCTACATCTTGCTCCACAGAGCCAGCCTGGCCGAGACCTTCGATAGCTTCCAGGAGAGAGACGCAGTATCTTGTCAAAACTCCAGAAGGCCCCAAACTGCACTGAGCAACCTGTAACAGAGAAAAGCAAGAAAATAACCTCACATCGCCCCAAAGTATGACTTCTCAGAGCTGAATAGGTGATTTAATCAGTCAGCTAACTGGTAGAAGATTACGCTGATAAGTACTTTGATAAGTTTGTAGGTATAAACAGTCAACTGTCACTTGTCTCAACATCTCAGATATGAATGAATGAATGAATGAACATCTGGATTTCTTACTGAGCTTAAAATCAAAGTTAACTGGATAAAACAATACATGTATTGAATCTGGAAGTTAGTGATAAGCAAACAATTCATTCACTGATAAGATAATCAATAGATTATTTGATATTTAGAGATATTTTTAAAAGACGTTAAAAAAATGCAGGCAAGTCTTAGTATTAGAAATGCACTATATGACACTCACCAATACATTCAAGTATGAATATAAGACACATCTTTGTTGGAAGAGAGTGCAATAAGCTCCTAGACTTTAAGGTTGTTTGTGTTTTTAAATAATTAAGACTTTTTTTTTTTTAAGATAAATGCATAAACAATACATAAATACACAGACGAACATGGCCAGTTTACACTGTTCTTAAAACACGCAGACAAAGAAATGAAAAAAGACTATAAAAGCTATATGGGCAAAAGTACTGGGCCACCTACACATTTCACAGGCGGAGGTTGGCCAATGGAAATGCTGTGTGGCACACAGTTTTTTGTGCTGATGTTAATGTCAGAGGAGGCAAGCAGCTCTGCGGATAGTGGGTCTTTTTTATTTATTTAATTTGTTTTAAACACACTATATGTCTCAGCACGCGGTAACCTCACTTTATAATGTTACGTGGTTTGGCACTTCTTGGCTGAGTTGCTGTGGTTTTTAAACACTTCCACTCCGTAACAATACCACTTACAGCTGATTGTGGAATATCTTGGAAATCTCACAAACTGACTCACTGTAACAAAGGCATCCTATTACAGTATCATCCTTGAATTCACTCAGCGTCAGTGTTTGTAAAGGCAGACTGCATGAACTTTATACACCTGTGTCACTTTTATCCATGCAGTGTATGATCCTTCACAGGTAAAGGAGAACTACAATTTCTGCCTTTCTTAGCTCCATAAAGGAGAAAACAGCTAAATGTTCTCTTTTTAGTTGATCAACTAAACTTCATGAAAGTACTGCTATTAAAACTCACTCAGTGAATCAAACATATACATATATCAATCACTTCTGATTGCTACAGCAGCAGAATAGAGTGATTCCGCATCCAACTGAGACCATTTATTGTTTATATCTGAGATCTGTGAGCATGATTAAACCTGGGGAAAAAACAACACTCTTTCTGTGTTGATTTCATAATTATAAAGTCATAAAAAACATTGATGCAAGCCTCAGAGTGTTTTGTGTTTATACATATTGACTAAACCTGAGCAGAAACCTTACAGCCAGTAGAAACCTACTACACACATAATCATAAAGTGCAGTCATTTTCGTAAACTGATGACAGGAGTTTTAGAGGCATAATACGGTTTGTATAATCTCCTAAACGCCTTCCTCTTTATGTCAACAAGTACTTTACATTTTGAATTGAAATAAAATGTTACACACTTGACTGTAAAGGCGATAAAACACACACACCTGCTTCCCATTGCTCTCCTCTGTGGTCCTGCATGCATCCAGCACTCCGAATGTTTTTCCCAAATAATACGGCATGCGCCTTTCTGCAAAGACTGGGCCTCTAGGAATAGACGCATTGGCCGATTTGGAAGCACAGAAGACCTTCTTGCTGAAGTGTGTGTTGAGAATAATAGGACAGCTGAAGCCCTCAACAGAAAGGTGCTGCCTGCAACAAGTAAAGTTCATCAAGTTTAGATTCAAGGCAAATCTGGTATAGCAGCTGTTTGAGCGTTTCTTATGCTGGTTCTTAATAAAAGGAACCACGGGGTTTGAGTATTTTAATATTGCATGAAATAAACATCTATAAAGTTGAAGGGCAAAGATGAACAGCTTTATGTTATGATTGTCTTGATAACACTTGAAAACAGTCAGATTGTGAATTAAATGGAAGAGGCTGTTGCATAAACGTAGAGGGGTGGGGGCTGCTAGCTCGAGAACTTTTTGAATGTCAAACTCAGATAAGGTACCAGCCACCTCCACAGGTCTGTTCGCTGCGTACCACCCAGCACAAAGTACAAGTTCAAATACGTTAACCTCCTCCTAGACGAGAGAAGAACGCAACGGATGCATGCGTCCTCTTTTACTTTACCTAGTGAAAGACAAAATTTCCAAGTAATTACATGTCGCAGTGCTCAATCTGGGGGATGCGGGTGAGAATACTTTCCAAATGTGATGTCATGTGTGGAAAAATACTTCAGTCGTCACAGTCAACAAGCCTGAGAGTGAACTGATGAAAAATCAAACTCAAAGTGTGTGTATGTGTGACCTGACGTGCTGATCTCGCTTTAATTTTTTACTGTTATCAGCTTAGATTTCACTCATCTGTAAGTGGCACAGAGATGCTGAACCACTCCTTTAAAACCTAAGTGGCTCATTGACATAAATACGGCCCATCTGAGTGGCACCAGGCCTGACAGCTCAAAAAAAAAAAAAAAGTAGGATAACAGTAATTATATAGCACTGTGTTGTTGGTAAGTATAAATTACGACTTTTTCCACATGTAACATTGATAATACCGTGATGATGGCTTATCGCTGAGTCATAGCCAAATGCACTCTGTGACTGGAACCTCTGTGCATGTTGCAGCTCGCCCAAGACGTGTGGTGATACTTAAACACGCAGATAAGTGTGGAGGGGGGGGGGACTATTTGTTTAGACATATAATGAAAACACCGTGGGAAAGAATTTATAAGCCAAATTATTAGATTCGCACGGTTTATGTGCACCCACATTTAATGAAAGGGAGTCTAATGTGACCTTAAAGAGTTCAGACTTTGAGAGTGCTGGATTTACAGGAATTACTTTATTTGCTGGTCAGTTTGGAGGCTTTATTTTTTTTATAGTCCTTACTGTATAGTACTGATGAGTGTTTCTAATATTTTCCACTTGTCTACTTCCACATGTCTTTATTAAACAGACTGTAGCTGTAAAGTAGAGCCATCTTTGACAGCAAAAGAAGAAGAAGAAGGAAAAAAAAAAAAAAAAGCTAAACCACACAGGTATGAGTTCCTGCCACAGTGTTGTTCCTGATTGCGCTGGACTGTACATACTGTTACTGGCATTGTTTCCATCCCCTGGAGCATTTTTGTCTTCATTTTTGGTCATGCAAGACTACCAACTACACAATGACTATGGAGAAAATCCAGTAATGGGTTTTTACCAGTGCAGGTGGAGACATCTGTGACTCATCCACTGCAAAATAATCTATCCTCTTAATGGCAGGTATATATCAAGTACACATATATGAAAATAAGTTTTTCCTTTCTTGGTGGCTCTATATCATAAAACAAAGGATAGTAGACTTTTTGGGGCCAGAGACCCTGCACAGGGGATATTTTCTACTACAGCCTCAACTTGTTTGGATTCAGTATCACTTGACAGTGCAGACTAGTGTTTCCTCTGCTTTCCAGCCAAGCAGTGGGCTAATAAAGCAAGATGCTTATCAGCAGGGCAGTTTGTTGCACCTGAGAAGACAGAGGTGCTGTGTCACAAGCATATGAGTTCATAGTGGCATAAAATTATGACACAAGACACACTATGCTAGCTTTATGAACAAAAATTGCCCCCAGTCTACAGCTTTTAATGCTAAATCAAAACTGTAGGATTAAGAGTAAGATATTGTGCAGAGTTCTGGTGGTCTCCACTTAAAATAACCACTACCATGAAATCTCTGTGATATTTTAAAGACCTTATATTGTAATTTTATCTTAACAGAGCATTTTAGTCTCAGACTGTAGACTAACAGGTTCACAGAGTTCATAGCTATCAGGATCCTATCCTGTGGAACCAGCTCCCAGTTTGGATTCATGAAAAAGACACTTGCTACTTTTAAGGTCAAGTTTAACCCTTTCCTTTGTGATAGTTAGAGTTGTATCTTGCAAACCTGAAGGACCCCTAGCTATGCTGCTACTGTTATTTACTTCCTGTGACGCACTGTGTCTCCCCTGCCTAATTTTTTTTAATATATCACTACTGCATATCATGAAATTGTGTCTTCTCTTTTCAGTGGTTTGTGTTTTGTCTTCATCTCCCTATGGTCTCCTTTTTCCTCACTTCAACTAGTTGTAGAAGATTGCTGTGCCTCCCTGAGCTTGGTCCTGCCAGAGGTCTCTTCCTGTTAAAAGGGAGTTCTTCCTTCCCACCGTCACCAGTTGTTTGCTCACAGTGGAGTGAACAGCGCTTGAGTGTTGAAGTTGTATCTCTAAACCTGCAGGTTTTTCTCTTGCATTATAAAGCACCTTGAGGCAACTGTTTTTATGATTTGGCACCATATAAATAAAACTGAATTGACCTGAATTAAATTGAAATGTCAGTACATAGTACATGATGTAATGTTACCAAAAATAAAGGAGTTATATGATCTACAATATTAAAATAATACTTACATTTTAATGCATTAATACAATAGTATCGTTATCTGAATATCTGGTTTCTTCTTTTTGTCGTTCAGCAGCATTTAAACCAATTCCTGTGTGGTTTGAATGAGTGTAAGTATTTCTGGTGTACTTTAAATAAATTTGCACTATGTTCTAAATACCTTAAATAATGTTTGCCAGTGCTTTTATACAAATAAAACTTCTGAATGCAGGACTTTCAACTTGAAGTGTGGTGTTTTTAGAGCGACGGTACCTTGTTTACTGACTCTGATGATGAGATTAGTTTTTTTTTCCACCACAGCTGAATTTTGCCAACCTTAAAAAAACAACAAAACTAAACAAGCACAAGACAAGCAATGATTAAGCCTCAGCGATCGTTATCTGACAAGAGATCACAACAACAATCTGTAAAAGCCGTACTCTAATCTTAGCAGAGCAGAACGTGCTGTTCATAATCACATGAACAACACCCTTACAGGAAGCATGATCCATTGTGAACAGGTGAGTGGGCAGTTGTCATCATCAGACAGGTAGCCAGGTTAAGGAGCGGCACTGACTGCTTGCGTCACAGCTTGTAAGTGAATAATCCCTGCAGGTATTTCCGCTCGGGCCTTGGCCCACTTAAAACAAGGCGTGGGAGGTGGGAGGAGTCAAACTACTCGTTGCAGGAATTATGGGGGTGGTTAACCCCTCGAGTGTCACACAGGAAACTGATAAGAAGAATTTTACCAGACAGGCTGCTCATCTAATTTCTGGTTGTTTTTTTTTCCACTTTGGCCTGGCCTGTAGCTGTTAACATTAGACTCAGAGAACATCCACTTTTTCTTGCTGTAATGATGTGCTTTTATACAGGCAGAATACTGATTGATTTAAACTGTCAACCCCACACATAAACAGAAAAAGAGTTTAAAATACACGCAAAAATAATGCTTTGAAGCAGTAAACGGTTGTGGCTGAAGAGAATAAAACAGGAAAGGAGAGGTGCTAAAGCCAGAGATCCTCTCAAACCACCATGTGTTTTCAATCTCAGGCCTCTGGCTCCCTCCACTCTCTACTCCCAAATGCTCCAGAAAATAATCCTACTGTGTTTTTTCCCCGGCTTGCTGGAAATGACCTAACTACTGCCAGGAAGAGGAATGCGAAGCATTCCCTGGAGCTGTTTGTGACGTCAGAGCGCTGAGGAGGCCCCTGCGCTTCCGCAGCTTGGATATTCCAGATCAACCCAAACTCCCAACAGCTGGAGTCAACCGCTACCTCGCTCCAACTCCCAAACAATCCCAAAAACAATCCCCCCATGTGAGGCACTGCTCTTCACATCTGGCTCTCGAGTATTTACTATTGTAAAATGAGAACACCAAGTTTTTACACTTAAAAACACATGATTGTACAACTTGAAAGATTTTAGGCGTGCAACTTCCAGCAAACCTCCTATTCAATGTCTTCTGAGCTCCTTGCCCTGCATGTACTGTGTCACTCGTGCATTGAGTAATTGCCCGCAACAGTGTATTTTGCTCTGTAGGTTTTGAGTGTCGGCCAAGAGATGATTTAGAAAGAAAAACCAAAGATAGGGGAAAAAAATGGTTTCACTGACCGATATAACTCCCCAAATGTGTCACCCAGTCCCAGTGCTATTTTAGACATTAACAGCAAAAATGCTCTAATTCTTAAAATTTAATTACGTGCCTATTACAGCAGATATAATTCATCCATTATTCCATAAAAAAAAATAAAACAAAGGTTTTTCTTCTGTCGTTTGACCATCTGCTTCTCAGTGTGAGGAATTTCTTCTTCTCTGCATTTTTTGACATTTTAATGGGACCTCTAAATTTAACCAAGTACCCTCCTGCACCACATGCCCAAATTCAACCACATGTGCCTAATAATATAAGAGTTTAAAAAACAATTAGGACATTAAACATTTAAAAACCCATTCATTGTTATTTTAAATCATAAAATAACATAAAATTATTAAACTTTTAAAAAAAATCCTTCCTCAAAATTTGGTCCAGAGTTAATTCTCTTTACTGTATTTTTGACCTTTGCACATTATAACAATGGCTGCAAACTGGTGGTTTTGACACAATAGGATCATCTTGTATTCACAAGTGTACATGTCTTACATGTCTTCCCCCACACCTTGCCTTTATCTGTACAAAGACACTAAGTAGCAGGGCTGGTCAAGGCCAACTGTACCAGTTTACTTCCTTGTCTTTACCAATGTAAACTATCTGCCCATTTTAAGCTCTTAATACTTTGTCGGTTCTCTCTGAATATTTGTGGTCTGAAGTTTAGTTTCAGCTCGGTCTCCTTGTTTGTACCGTCACAAATCAGCCATATTTCACACTTCAGTGCTGCATTTTCAGGTGCATCAGAGAAGTCACAGCTGATGTAAACACTAAAAGCTTTCCACTGGTAAATGTGGTGCTTTTTTGTGGAGCAGTTAAAGTAACTATGATGTGTTAACCACAGACTGAGCACATCTTCACTATCAGTTTAAGTGGCGCAGTGGAAAAATAAAACGCTGCTTACAGTTGCTCACAGCACAGAACTATTAACACCAGAAAAAATATAAATAAACAAACTCTGCATTATTCACAGTTCAAATTAAACCTTATTCATCTTATACTGAACTCTGGTGTGTTAGTGGGCCTCAGCTTGTCTTCTTTTTAAAACAAGTTGTTTGGGCACTGGTTTAGCTCCCTGGTTGAACAGGTGATCATATTTCTTAAGGTTGAAATGTAGCAGCTTGGGTTCGAGTCCAACCTGCAGCACTTTGCTGCGTATTTTCTCCCATTCTTTTTCGTCTACTTCTTCACTCCTGAACTGTCAAATAACCCAAAAATAAATATCTTAAAAAATAAAATGAGCTGTTTAGTTCTGGGTAAGGCCCAGCTTTCTTCTGAATGGCTGTCCCTCATGTTTGAACAGCAGCTAAGAGAGTTCTCTATGCTCGTTTTCTGACTGATACCACCATAGTAGGAATATCTGCTCTCAGTGACATCACAGAGAGCTAAAAGTAGAAAAAACTGGAGCCACCTGCAGTCCAAGGTTTTGGCTCACTGGAATTATTCTTATATACACTGACCTTTTGAAACTTAAGCCATGTTTAATATGTAACTATAACTTTGTAACAGAAAATAATGAAAGGGGTCAGCTTTAAAAGTGTGCCCTGTGCGCCATCTGCTCACCATGGTGGATATATATGGACGATGTCACTGGGTGCAGGAATCAGCTGTGCAGCTGTCTCTCTGTTGAATAACACCAACATACGAGCGCTCTCCTCAGAGACCGGGTTAATGTGTTGGTGGCCATCTCCGGGGGGTTGGTGGTGCTTGCAGTGCGCCAACTGCATGCTGCACTCCTCATGAACCTCCAGCACCTCGAGCACCAGCACGCCAGCCCTGTCCACTGGAGATCAGAGCAACAACAACAACACAGATGTTTAATGCTTGTGTGTGTGTGTCTGTGTACACAGTGTACTCATGCTCTCTGTGGGACTCATTATGCATTATGAAATTCTTTTTTAGCATCACAACAACTTGCACTGCATATCTGTAAAGCTGTTAGTGACTCAGCCTGAGCTGGATATGAGACGCAGTAAATCCCAATGGATGACTGCACAAATATTTGGAATTTCACCACAATGCTGATTGCTTGGCGTGAACTATAAAGTCCACAGAGATACTTAAGAAGAGCAAATCCACAACGATGCCCTGCAGCTGTAAACCAAAGCGAGATAGGAGGGAGACTTGGCATCATGAAAGCGAAGTGTGAAAACTTGATTGCATTGAATTGTTAAAATTGCAGAAGAGAAGGGGCAAAGTCAATGCAGCTCATTGTGTGTGTGTAGGTAAGTGGCCAGAGGGGGAATTTTAATATGATACGAATAAATCAGATCAAGGACACTGCTGGAGAGGTATTAGGTTTTAACAAGCATTTGTCCAAACATGAATGTTAAGTGGTTCATTTGTGCTCTGTGCATTGAGATCCCAAATAACAAAATCATTACAATAACACCAGGCAGCACGCCAAAACCGAGAGAGTACTCGAGTCCTCCTCTTGACCTGCAAATTCAATATTTTAGGAAACAACTCAACATCTGCATACTTGTTTTATTGTGGGGTATTTATCTTACAATATAAAGCGCCTTGAGGTGGCTGTTATTGTGATTTGGCTCTATATAAATAAAACTGAATTAAATTAACCGTAGATAAGTCGCACACCATCACAATCAGATGTCACAGAACAGGGCGATCCGGTCTGCATCAGTGTTGTTATTGGTAATTATGTGTTCACCAAAATATAAACGAAACCAATGTCAAGTCACTGCCTGGTTTTGGACAACATTATCATATTCAGATGAAAATATGGAGTCCTAAGTTATCAGTTAGGGCTGGCAGGCTTCACTGGACTTAAGCAAATGACAGACATGTTCCTTCGAATTACTGTAATTCAATTTTATTTAATTAGCACCAATTCACAACAACGGTTGCCTCAAGGCACTTTACACTGTAAAGTAAGGATTCTACAATAATAGAGAGAAGACCCCAATAATTGGACAACCATCTATGATCAAGTACTTGGCAACAATGGGAAGGAAAAAAATCATTTTCAACAGGAAAGCACCTAAAGGAGAACCAGGCACGGGGAGGGGCATCAATATTCTGTGTGTGGTTGGGGGTTGGGGGGACAGCAAAAGGACAACAACAACAACTTTAGCGACACTGCTAACTTAAAGTCTAACCCCATTCTGAGGCCTCAAAATTAATGTTTTATTCACAAGCTGATTTCCACAGTCGAAACCCTAGTTTATATGGAAGCCACCAACTTATCTGCAAACCCTTGCCAACTACTGAGTGAATGGCGGTGAAATTTGTAAAAAGTGCGACGCAAACCGGGAACAGACTGTTTGCCTTAAAAGTGAAAGTAGCACCTTTTAAAACGTGTTAGTTTCACGAACATTCTCCATTTCCAGTTTGCGTTGCACTTTTTCAGTTTTCACTATTGCTCAGCAGCTAGCTAGCACTGTCTACAGAGAAATTCGATGTGTGTCATGCAAAACATGGGCAACAAAAGCAATCACAAGAAGGTTTTTTAATGCAGTACCGTCTTCGTGACCAGGTTCACCTAGCAACCGACAGCAACCTCCAAGAAACACTCGCAATGAGTCGGGAATGCACTTTTTTTCTCCTTTTGACCAGAAGTTTCAAGGGCATCGCAGACAAGTGTCTAGGCCTATGTGACTGAGGCTTTAGCAACCTGCATCCATAACCTGCTAAATCTTGCTTAAAATGCCAGAATTTCACTCAACAAAACAGAAGCACAAACTCCTCGGCTGAACTCTACCACACAGCGTAGCATTTACCAGATAAATGACATTAAAATGCTCCGAAAGGCACCAACTACACAAACGTGGTGGAGAGGTGCAAACCAGGTCCAAATTAGCAGAGAGGCCTAGGAGACAGAGACCCTCTGCATGTGTGTGTCTTCACAAGTGTCAGTCAAATTGGCCATTCTGTGAACTCTGAGCCTTATTAATATCCAAATGTATGAGTCAGAAAGAAGTTCACTCCCATATATATTATAATGAAGGAAATTATTCAGAGAGACCAAAACTGCCTTTGTATGAGGCTGAAAACATGACTTTTAATGCTACTTAATTGGTGATTTGAACCATTGATTCCATGGCGACTGTTTGGCCTGGAGTTTGCGGGTTGAGTGTAGCAGATTAAATTGTGAAAAATGTTCCGGAAAAAGAACATTTTGCACCAAAAGATATATTTTTTTTATATTTAAAAAAATCCTGATGTCAGCCATGTGACGTTAATGGGTTGAAAAGACTAAACAAACAAAAGTCTTTGTGCAAAAAAGACAAAAGAAAGATCAAATATTGATTAGACTTCGAAACCAGGTCAAGTCAAAATAAACTCCTACATTTCAACCCATCTTCGTAGCTCGTTACGCTAGTCAAACCATCGACTGACCACAAACTCTAAGTTAGATCAGGTGGGCGTTTTCATTTTCCACAATCAACTGTCACCTCTGAGTCAATGCTCGTGTCCTATTACGAGGAGATACTTAACAACAAGACAATGCAAGTGGTTTGGTACGCCGCGGAAAGGAAAAAAGAAAAAAAAAAAAGGTAGGCAAGCAGCTTCCTGTCACCTACATGTCGAGTTCACAGTTCAGCCAGCATTTCCTCAGCGTGGCCCCCAAGTACAATCACATGTATGGTAAAAAGAAAGAAAAAAAAAAAAAAATCACACCTTTCAGCCAGGCTTCATCCCACTCACAAATCAAAGTTCACTGTTAAACTTTAAGTGATGATTCACAGGTTTATGTGTGCATGATCCTGGTGTGATCTGGCAGAGGACTCGTGTGACGTGGATCACCTGTTGTGGTTGTTGCTGCCGAGGAATCAGACACGGACTGGTGCTTCCAGAAGCTGATAGCTGACCTCTGCCTGCACTGAAGTCGATTCAGCCTTTCTGCCAGACCTCCACTGCGAAAAACACACACACGCACGCCCCCCACCCCCACAGAGGTAGATGATGTAATGTGATAAACTCACAGAGCACAAGCAGTCTAACCAACGCACAAGCAGAAATGTTTATTTCAAAGTGAAGTAAAAGATTTTCTGATGCACAGAACCAGCTGTCAAAGACTACAGAAAGCCATCTGTCAGATTTGGTGGGCTTAGAGATTGCAAACGACATTTAGCACCCACATTGTGCCACCAGGTGTCCCTTTCATCATCAGTTCTGCCGTGGAAACATTGTCACCAAAGTCTGTCTATCACCTGGCTGCAAGCAATACATCTTGCTTTGTTTGTTCGTATTGTGAAGCAATGCACTATCACACATATTATACGCTCAGGTGCAATTTTTATTAAAACTAACACCGTCCTGCAGAAACTCTAACTCCATGAAGGCTGCAAAGACCAGTGCGGTTTCTTGAGCGTCACTGACATAACTTTATGATAATTTTGAAGGCTCAACTGTGTGAGGTTAATGTTATGTAACTTGACTGATATCAAACTTCTATAAAACTAAATTCGGTGCAGTAATATGATACGCTCATATGCTGTGTATCAGCAGAGGTACTAGGCATTTAAAAACAGTGGACTGGAACAAAAGTCACACCTTTGAAACTTTCTTCTCTTTTTGGCAGAGTCTTCTGGAGTCTTGGGTTGTATATTAACTGGTTTCTGGGGCGTTTGCAGCATCGCCTGAGCAGATCTCACCCAGTTGCTGATTGACTTTTTGCTGCCCTCACCAGTTTGGAGATGAAAGATCTCAGAGTCCAGTCTGCTTGAAGTCACTGGGCTGCCAATATCCTCTCCATCAGATACATACCCTGAGATCTCAAGCTCTTTAACCTGGGAACAAAGTGAGCATTTGATGGGAAGAACAGTTGTAATTTTGTAGTTTGACATTCTTGAATGAAAACGTTAAAAATGCTCAACTTGCAGTCAAATGCAACTGTATGTTATATGCTGACATCCAGCTCCACATTTTTATTCTAGGACTCGAAACACGCTCTGAATGATTTACATCTCAAAGTAACCCTTATTTGTCTTGGTGCAACCTCTCAAAAAACTTCATACTAGAAACTGCCAAGGGTTCATTTTGAGCCCCTTGGTATTTTAAAAATCCTGTAGGTTTGTTAAATTAAAACTCAATCATCTCATATTTTCAAAAATTGGCTTATTCATCAAATACTCAATTTTGGGGTGTGGGCGATCAAAAGAATTAGGACAACTTTTACCAAAGCCGAAATGTTATGTAATGTAAAACCACTACTGCAGCACAGCATGTTGCTTAGAAACATGATTGCTTTACACACATTGTGAGGTTGTGTGTAAAGCCTGCCACAAAACGAGTTACAGCTAGGTAAATGTGACTGATAAATACATATAGAGAGGGACTGTAGTTAGATAACACATGAATAATTATTGCTGGGCACATGATGAGTTGGAGCAGAGCGGGGACTGTGTGACCGAACAGGGCAGGTTGCTGGCTGTGCAGAGCAAGTAAAGAAAATCCAGAGCACAGCTACCTGTGAGGTCAATTTTAAAATGTAGGCAATCAGCTGTTCAATCTCATTTACATTTATTCTAATGTGTATTTTTATTTCACATTCTGTAAGAAAATGCTGTAAATCATTAATAAAACTAATAAAAACCCCTTAAAATGAATCTTAAATATGTATTTTGTCAAATCTTCCTTAATATTATAAAAATTTAGATGAAAATTAACAACCTAACTTCTTCAAGAAATGATGCCTTTGCTATTACTGCTGTTGTTACTGGGGTCAAAATGACCCTCCTAGTGTTAAATTCCTTCCCCTTTCTTCTGATTGGCTAACCCTTGTAAACAGAAGGTGTCAGCAGGTGAGTGAGGCTGCTGCGTTAATGACCAGGATATCCTCTCCCTGTACAGAGCTGAAATAGAAAAACTGTCTGAAACAGTTTTTAAAGCAATCAGAAGTTAGAAGCTTATTGCTTATACACTCATTTCAACAATAGGAGCACCAATCCCTATAAAAGTGTAAGTGTGTATAGTATATATAAAGGCAAAAAGTAACGCTTTTAAAATGGTTCATCCATCTGTAACATATTCATGAGTACTTAATGATTAATAAAAACAATAAAATCAATATCAAAAATCAAGAGGATGATACACCGACATGCAGTCAGGCTGATTAATTGTCAAATTAGTGCACTAAACAATCTTTCTTGCTGTATCATTGCTGGCTACACCTGAAGGAATCTGTTCTCATGGAAAAATCCACTAGAAACCTGAGTTCCTGTCATGTGCAGACAAGACCAGCATACCAGGCCCTGTCAGCCAATATGCTCTCTTCTTTGAGTCAACTTGACCCTGCTAGGCAGCGTGCCAGCAGACGTCACACTCCAACCAGCTACAGAGAAAAAGGAACACCATGTTCCTGGCCCCGGCTCAAAAATGTTTTCACCAGCACTGAAAGCATTATAAGTACACAGCTCTACGCAGCCTCTTCCACTCACTCAAGTTCTCCTGAACAAACAGTAGTAAAAAAGTTGTTTATAGCCCTTCTCGAGCTCTTATGTGGTGTGGGTGGTTGACCCTTTAAGCGCCGATGTCGGTGGGTGACGGACCGAGCAACACACTTCATCTGGGAAGCAGCCATCCCCTTTGGCCTTGAAGCACGGAGTCGCCTATACAGCTCCGCCTGTCCTCTCTTAGCGGCTAGTACAAAAACACAGAAATCTGGCAGGGGCACATTAAGTGACTCAGCCATGCGTTTATCTGGAATAGTAAATTTTGCCTAGGATTAGGATCCTTCCCCCCTCCCCCTCCCGTATCCTGTTAGATCCGGTTTGATTTACAATTGGAAATGTGTAAGTGAGCTTTCCGGGCAGCAAATAAAAAGTCCAAATAGGCCAGAACATTCTGATATTCTAATTAAGTCAATATTTACTGTGCATATACTAAATTTAATCACACTGATAATCGGATGCAAGAAAGCTACGTACTATTACTTTCAAATATGTAACATTTGATCTGCCAAAACTACCCCGTGCACATATTTCAGTGCGACTATATTAAACTATAAAAGTAGGACTCTAAAGGCTTCTTTCTAGAGGCCCTCTGACCACAAGCCTCCTGTTTGTTGATCTTATATTTTTTTGACCCCAAAGAGCTGATAACAGCAAATTATAAGTGTGACAAGAGGAAGTAGCTGGGGTCTGCGGGACTGATGTTAATCTCTCGTCAGGCTTCCTCTCAATATATCGAGTTAGTGCTTTTTGCAGCCTCAATAAAGGAGCGTAAGCGGCAGGCAGAGGCTATACCAGTACCGAGACAAATGATCACCGGCTTCAATCTGACCCATCCTCGTGTTCAACGGTGTTCTCACAAACCGCTATCTAGTCAACCGCATTCATTCAGTTTTGCCACAACCTGCTGATCTTTTTGTTTTTTAAATTGGAATATGTGCTCTAACAACTAAACTGTATGTGTGTGGTCTATGAGCTAAACACTGTCACCACTCCTTGTACATTCTCACCATGCCAGCCCTGCCTTCAACAAACAGTACCTCTGAATGGCTTGTGAGCGGGAGCAGTCGAGCC